CATTTCTAACCAATTTTCATCCTTGATTGCAAACACGAAACCTCCCAATGCAGACCTGAGGAGAATTCATATTGTGACCAGCCTACAAGGCTGCTGAAAATTGGCTCTATGATGAGCGGGAAGATGAATTGGAAACAATGGATGAAACAAAATGGAATAGTATTTGGAAATGGAGAGGCACTAACCGCATAAGGCATTTCTTATGGTTGCCTTGTTTATATACAGTCTTTATGTATAAGTTATGTAGGTGGTGATTGTGCTAACTTAGATTTTTTACGGTGGGAGGTTAATAGTTTTCCCACACAGCTGCATTTTTTTATGAATGGCTTGTTAATATCTAACCCTGCTTCTTAATTAGTATGATTAAATTTTTGTTTGACATATATATAAGCTTAATTTTTATTGATACATCCAAAATATCATCATTAATTCTGTGAAAATTGGTTTCAATTCTTCATTCCATTTTTTTTTCTTTTTGTTAACTTAATTACATTTTGGTAAAACGAAACGGAATACTCTAATCCATTAATATATAAGGAACGTGCATTCTAAAAGTTTGAAACAAAATTCCATCAATTGGTTACCTTTTGAGTGTTTTTCAATAATTTATGGACACATTTTGTTTTATCATGTCCTTGTCGGAAAAAAAAAAAAATTCGCCCCCCCCTAAATTCAAATCATGCCTCTGTCCCTGGCAACAACAATATTCGACACCAGCAGCTTGCCAAAACCAACCAGTAATTAGCATGGCAAGACCGCTAGCGACTAGGGGTGGCTATACGGTCCGGTCCGGTTAAATTGGCCCAAATTGATCCGGTCCAGTCCGATTTTTTTGAAAATATAAGGACCGACGATTGGATTGGATACAGTCCGGTCTTGATCCGGTCCGGTCTTGACCCGGTCCGGTCCCAATTCGGTCTTGATTTTATATTGAGATTGTGGGAATTTGAGTGGCATAAGGCCTAAAAGGGTGAGGAGTTGGTTAAGTTTTGTACTAAGTGCAAAGGTTTGTGACCGTTTATGAAAATTACCCTTAAGTTTTGGGTGTTGAGCTCTCTTATCCGGTCTTTATCCGGTTTTTTACCTCAAATCTAAGCCCAAAGATTGGATTGGATTGTTTACTATCCGGTCCCGGTCCGGTCTCGGTCCGGGTTATACGGTCCGGTTTCCGGTTTTTCATCCGGTCCCGGTCCAAATAGCCAGCCCTACTATGTTTGTAAAATTACAAATCAATTCTTTTAATTCATCTTCATAATAAACATTAAGTGGCTCTATCAGCATGGATAGTTTAATTTCAGCTTCTCCCATAAACACTTCCATACAATAATTTTTAGATAAAACTTTCATAGGACTTAATAGACACTTTTTTTGGCTAAACTTTTGTACAAACACGATTTTATTACAAAAGTTATCAAAACAATGAACTATTGTCAATTGGGATTATAATTCAATTATTATCAAACAATACGATTGTGCGTAGGTTACACGCCCAATGGGCAGGCCTGGAGCTACTAATGTTTGAGAGAGGGATTGGAGGAGGGGAAGGGTTGCTCGGTTCCCCTTTTCCTTTTTCCTTAAATTGGTGTTTTTATTAATTAGTGAATGACGAGGATGTCATCTCAGTTTAAGATGCTAAGTCACTGCAGGAAAAATAGTTTATCGTTAATATTAACGGTCAATTTAAAACATGAGCCAAATTTGTCAATTTCTTTTAAAAGTTGGCCGTAACTATATTATTTAAAAATTTATTTAAAAATTGACACTTAAGCCAAAATTCGAACCAAAATTGAGTATTGATCAATAAATAATTAAGATAATCTTGTAAGTTGTACAATGGTTATACGAATGCAATTGGGACTGGTAGAAGAATCCCGTTTTCTCGTGAATTTATACAACCCCATCAAATCATACAATTAAAGGTAAGGAATTGGGGGAAAATGTAGCGAATGGGTGTCATATTCGTCTGTATTTTTATTACAACAGATCGATAAAGTTGTGTTATGAATGTGACATATAAACAAATTTGATCATACAAAACACAAATATAAAAAGAAAACCCCAAAGAATTATATGGAGAAATTTGGAATGTCAGAATCAAAACAAAAATAAATGAAGACAAAAGCACAGGCTGTCCCCAACCCAGCTCTCTAATCAGTAATCTCTACTTCAATCAAAGCAACGGAGCAAAAGGAAGGCCAATCACACAGCAGACACTGAATTTTGGTGTCACCAATACCTTTGTCCCTTAATTTTACTAATCAACAAATTTGCCATTCAAGTTTGGGATAACGAACATAACAAGTACTTATATAGTTATATTCGGTTTTATAAGAGTTTGAATCCAGTTCGTCAAAATTTGTTTTGTCAAATTCCTGTGAAAAAAGAAAAAAAAGGCATAAAATACATGAAATAGTTTACACATAAGACACATATATCAATCAAAATTAAACTCATTACTCGATATAGTACTAGTGCATTAGCCTACATAGTCTTCTTTACATTCTCGGGATCAATACAAAAATCATGTAACATATGTGTAGTTATTCTGACATAAAAAAAAAAAAGTGTAGTTATTCTGAGTGAGTTGATAGTTGATAACCTCATCTGTAAAATTTGAACGTGGAGGTTTATGAAAGTAGTGGATAAAGGGAGTGTTGTGTTAATCACCCAAAACCTGAGTAGCAAATTCAGTGAGTGCCCAAATTGTTTAGTGACGGTTCTTGTAATTGTCCGGACGATAAAAGATCCCATGAACCGTCGGTGGACATGAAACTATCTATAGTATACCCAAAGCCCAAATGCACCAGTGAAGACATCGTTGTCCACGTGGCTCGTCCTCATTCGCAGTCAATACTGCCCCAAAAAATTTCTTGCTCTCTCTATTCTATTCTCAAATGTTGCCGACAGCGTCGTGGTTACCCTCAACAGCCTCAACAACTCCACCTCAGACGAATATTTTTGTATGATAAATGTTCTTTTGCTAAGAAACCGACACAAATATTGTTTGATATATCTTTTTATTTGGCAAATGTGCAATTTTATAAATTATTTGTATTTTAAATGTTTGGATACAATATTTTTATATTCTTTTGTAAAAATTATTTTATAATACAAATTAAATTTGTATAATTTTAATTTGCGGAAGAAGAAATTCAATTTGTATTTCGAAATATCAATACTTTAGAGGATAATGAAATGACTCTTGTAAATATCGATTAGAATTATACTCTTTGATAATATATATGTTATATATCATGGCTGCTTTGATGATAGACCCTCACAAATTTTGCCTTGAGATGCATATCAATGTGACTTCCTATAAGGTTACACATTTTTATAATGCTCCACAATGAGCACGTTTAACTTCGGAGTTCTTACAAGAACCCTTTCATTTCACATCAGAACCCTTGTTTGTCAGTTAAAATCGATTTCTTAATTATAAATCAACGATCTCTCTCATGCTTTGTCGATGTGAGATTCGTCTAAGGTGTTGTTACAATATGTTTCTATGGAAAATCAACAATGTTTTACGTATGTCACACTTATTTCTAGCTAATATATATGAAAGCATGATGTTGTCGTTGGTGGACATTTATTTTTTTCATTTGCTAATTGTTGAGTTAATCATTAGGGCATAATGTTGTTGTTTGTGTAGTGTAAATAATTTTTTTCTGGGTCCCATATGGGATGTATCATGGGGAGATCTACCCTGGGGCTCTGTCTGTGCCAGCTCCTATAATTGAATCATCAACTCTTATGCAGATTTTTTTTAATGTTGGGGGTGATTAAAAGAAGACAAGAAAACTTATATATGTTTCTTTTTCTACAAAGCCCACTATCCAAACAAGCCATTTTTCATACAACCAAGAGTGATGTGATACCTTAGCTGTTCTCTGGACCCTTTATACCAGGTTCCATAAGTCTTGAAATTGACAAATTGTATTGGACACAATAATATAGATTTTAGGACCACGTTCGATTCATATAATCTAATATCGTTAAAAAGAAATTTTGATATATGCCAAAAAAAATATACTTGTTTATCCAATTCACCACTTTACGAATTACAAATGCTCATAAAGATTGATAGACACAAACATATATTGCCTGGATTCAACGATAAAGAAAGATTGAAAGAAGATAACATATTTTGTTACCTGGGGGCGACAGATACTCCCCCAATGATGTTGAGTGTTGAAGGAGATGAATATTTTTCATAACGCTGTTTCACCAAAAGGGAAGGGCAGGGGGATTGCTCAAAAGCGAGTTCTTGATACTCACGGGAAGGATCATTGTTTGTGGCAAAAAGTTATATGACTTATTTATGAGTTGCAAATCAATTACTAACTCAGCTTTGTGTGTCATTTTAGACTGAAAAGACAAAAACAAAAAGAGCCTCCAAGTCTCATCTTTCTTGTTTTGCCCACCTTCCAACTCCTTAGTCCAATTCAAGCTTCGTGTCGCCAAAATTTAGAAATACTTGCACGACTTAGGTCTATATTTAGATTGATCTATTAAAGATACCAAAAACTAAGTCTAAACTTTTAAAATCGGGTTTTCGCATTCAATCCACGATTTTTTTCATCATATCACAATATCAACCCTTCAAATTTTGATTAAGCCAAAAAGATATTTTCATTACTCATTAGTCCACCCATCTATACAATGAGAATTTTTGATCGATCATAATATGTATTTATAATACTCATCTCGACTTGCAACCTTAAATCCATCCAAATCCATTACGAGGTAATAATTATAATAGCCGAAATTTACTCTAATTTCCCGGATGAATTGGGGTCATAAAAAGACCGGCCCACAGTCTTCAACGGCTTCAAGACTAGAGTTAGAGTATCCGTTAAAGTCCTCATCATCATCCTTCCTAGCTAGCTAGGTCCCACATTTGATGTGTTCCACCCATTGCCAACCTGGCGTATTCCCACCAATCATAATAATAATAATAATAATAATAATAATAAATCAGACACACACACATACAAACACTGGCTAACTCTCTCCTTTAAACCCAACCCACCACACTTTCCTCTCCACCACCACTTACTCCCCACCTCCCTCCGCCGCCACAATGCCGACGCCTTCCAGCACCGCCGCTGTCCTCTTCCTCTTCCTCTCCCTCTTCTCCGCCACCACCATCACCTCGGCCCACAACATCACCCACCTCCTCTCCACCCACCCACAGTTCTCCACCTTCAACCACTACCTCACCGTCACCCACCTCGCCGCCGAGATCAACCGCCGCCAGACCATCACCGTCCTCGCCCTCGACAACGCCGCCATGTCCTCCTTGCTCGACCGCCACCTCTCCGTCACCACCCTCCGCAACGTCCTCTCCTTGCACGTGCTGGTCGACTACTTCGGCACCAAGAAGCTCCACCAGATCACCGGTGGCTCCACCCTCACCTCCACCATGTTCCAGGCCACCGGCGCCGCCCCGGGGACTTCCGGATACTTGAACATCACGGATCTCAAGGGCGGGAAGGTGGCGTTTGCCCCCGAGGAGAACGACGGCAAGATGGACGCCGTTTTTGTCAAGTCGCTCGTCGAGATGCCCTACAACATCTCCGTCTTGCAAATCAGTCAGGTATGCTTCTGCTTCTGCTTCTGCTTCTGCTTTAGCCTTTATGTTATGTATGTGTCTTCTGGTAATTAATTTCTGTCTCTTTGCTAGATTGGTGGGGATGAATCCGTCACAATTCTAGATTAACGGATGAATGAATTGTGGCAATTAATTATTATTTACATAATTGTCAATGATATGATTAATGGGTTAGCCATTTCTTTTTTAATGATATATATGGTTAACTTCAAAGTTTGAACTCCAATTTTATTCTTTAGGTTTAACATCAATTGATTAGCCAATTTTTTGAATGAAAAACTGGGCATCATAATTATTTTGCACCCACGTTCTGGGTACCTTTGTAGCGTAGTGCCTACACAATCAAATGGCTCAAAGTAATTATGATTCTTATTTGTTTCGAACTAACTAATGTGGTGACTTCTTTTTTATATGAATAAATTTTGTTTAAATGTGCGATAGTGGGATTATTTATTTAAAGGAATATTTGTATTGGTTGTGCTAAGTTTTTTTTTTTCGTTTTTCGTAATTTTATTTATTGTGGAAAAATCCAGATTTTGTATGGTTGTCATTAATGTGTCCACGTCCACCCACGTGAAAACACAGCACTCCTCTGTTTTTCTTCTCTTTCCCTTCCTTTATGGGTGCTCATGTCTCTAGTGGGCATGATGTACAAAATATATTATATTTATTAATATTAATACATAGGGATGACAATTTCGACCTGACCCGTTTTACCCGATCATTTTGACCTGTATTGGGGCGGGTCAGGCGGCGCGGGGCGGACATGGGTAGTCTCATCAACCCGACCTGCCCTGACCCGCCCCATTCTCGACCCGTTCTTATCTAAATTACATGTAATCTTAGTCAAATTACTTAGAATTTTCCTTTTATTGCATCATATTTTAGCTATAATAAAGTTGTAAATTAGTAAAAACTTCAATTTCTTCAATAATTTAACTACAATTGTCATAATATTGTTTGTTTTCTTAGTCTTATAATAAAAATAATGAATATTTCTAATATTTTTCATATAAATTGCATACCCATTGGGTCGACCTGCCCCAATCCACGACCCGTGATCAATTACCCGACCTGGACCCGACCTGCCACGAGGCGGGTCTGGGTACCAAGAAACCCGCCCCGGACCTGCCCCATTGCCATTCCTGTTAATACATATAGGCGCGAAGAAGTGTGATCCATTTCAACTAAGTGATTTGTAAGAAATAGTCATTTAATTGGATTTAGGTAATACCTTAATTCAATGTGCATGTTCCGTAAATTTTCAAATGGAAAACGATTAGATCTAATGCTTATATTAATCATCAGGCCGTTTGATGCTTAAATTAGCCATCAGATCTAAATCCTTTGCTGCTAATAACTTAATTATTCAACTATTCTGTGATTTTTTTTCTTTTGTTTAATGATGCATTTGTTACATGATCATATACAGGCGGTAAATTCAGCCGAAGCAGAGGCGCCAGCTTCAGCCCCCTCGTTGAACCTGACATCAATCCTCCACAAGCAAGGCTGCACCAAATTCGCCGACCTTCTGTCCGCCACGGGGGCCGAGGCCACGTTTGAGGCCAACGTGGACGGCGGCCTGACTGTGTTCTGCCCATCCGACACCGTGATAACGTCCTTCATGCCGAAATACAAAAACTTGACAGACTCCGAGAAGCTCTCCCTCATGCTCTACCACGGTATCCCCGTCTTCATGTCGATGCAGATGTTGAAAGACAATAACGGCGTCGTTAACACGCTGGCAACTGACGGCGCCAGCAAGTTCGACATCACCGTCCAGGATGACGGCGAGATCGTGAAGCTGAAGACCAAAGTCGTGACAGCCACGATAACGGGGACGCTAAAGGAACAAGACCCCTTAATCGTGTACAAGGTGGACAAGGTTTTGCAGCCAGGGGAGCTGTTTGACGCGGATGACGTGGCACCAGCTCCTAAGGGTGCTAAGACGAAGGCCAAGGGGAAGAAGAAGGCCGCGGAGGCGGATTCGCCGGATTCTGCAGATGCGCCGGAGGGTGATTCGGATGATGCGACGGCGGCTGATGAGGACCAGAACGGAGTTGGGAAGATGTTGAACGGCGGGAGTTTGGCGACTCTGGCTTTGAGTTTGTGTATAGGGTTGATGTTCATTTGATTGGGTCAAATCTTGTAGTTTCTTTTTGTTTGTGTGCGTGTGAAATGTATCAATTTGATTGAAAGAAACTTGGAGGGGCGTGATGAAAAGAGATTATTTTTTTTATATATATGGAGGTGATTTGAGAATGATGGATGGAAATGATTGATTTTTGTTGGGAGACATTTATTTTAAGGAGGTGGTTCATGTGATTTTGGATAATGTTGATGGTCTTTGTTTTGTTTGATGACAGGAAACTTTTTAATTATATAAAATGTTTTCTACGATAAGGTATAAACTCTAAAGTATGTATCATGCCTTGTCGAAATTTCATTATCCTACTGATTAAGGACGTATATTGGAGCATTGTTAGAGACAAGGTCCTAGGAGGTTCCAGATTCGTGTAGGATTGAGAAAATTATCTAGATCAATTAGGGATTGATCTAGTTAGAGATTTAGAATAGGAGAAAAATTGAAAAAAAAGGGAAGGGAGAGAGATAGCTAATGCCACAACTTTGGGAGAAGAGAGGGAGACGTAGGGAGGGTCAGGGAAAGAGAGAGAAGGAGGTTAGGTTTGATAAATTGGTTATGTTAATAACTATCTCATATCCTGCTAATAGGATATGTCAAACTACTCCCAATTATTTCCAAAATTCCCTAAATAATCTCAAAATGTCTCAAATCGATAAATAATCTCAAATGACAAAAATAAGCAATAAATGTGTTTCTAACATTCCCGCCGCCTTGGAAAATGGAAACAACCTTGCCCTCAAGGTTATACCTTTATGCTCCATGTCTTGATTCCTTGCCTCCTCCGTCTCGTCTTCAGCCTCGTCCTCCCAACGCCCCACCAACATCATCAGATCGGGTTTCACACACTTGTGTCCAACGATAAACCTCTCGTCGCAGTTAAAGCACTTCCCCTCCCGCCTCTTCTACTCAATCTCTGTTGGTGACAGTCGCACAAACCTAGGTCCCGGTCGCGCCGTTGTTGGCCCGTTTGTCGCCATAGATCACGCTCCGGAGGGCGCGCTCCCACCTCCACTAGCAGTGCCGCTGCCGCCCCGCTTCCGCCGGACCTCGGGAAGCGACCGATCATGTTCCTCCAGCTCGCCAGCTCCTCTTTGTGACCTGCAAGAAGGAAAGCAGTCCTCAAGGAATCCGACTCGAAGACCTTGACCGCAGAGACGATACTAAGCATGACACTTGCTTCATAGAGATCTTTTACATTCAAAATTCTCAAACAACATGATTTTTCACAATATTGACATCACGAGTCTTTGTACCAAAGATAACGTTTCATTCATAATGCAAGTGTCATTTTCAAATTTGTACTAAATGAACTTGTCACTTTCATTTTAAAACCATGAGGGAGAACCCGATTGTTCATGCCACTGTTTCTGAGTCTGGTACAAATCCTCATGATTTGCCTAACCATAGACTCCAAAAGCATGTTCAAGAATAACAAGCTTTTAGGTTGTCCTGATATAGATTTCTTTATCCAAATCATCATTCACAAAATGCAATTTTAACATCCATAAAATACATCACTTGCAATCAAACCATATATGGATGTTATTCTAGAAGATAACCCAAAACTATCTAATATTGATTCCATCGATATATTACCCAAAACTTATCAACCAAATGGTAACTTTACAAGATTCTAAGTCTTACTAGACTCCAAAGATTCCATTTCATTAATAATGGATTTTCCCACACATTTACGTCTTAAGGAATTTAGAACTTCTTGTAGACATGTAGGATTCTTCCTCGGGTGTAGATAACAAACTCATAACCAAAATCCTCTAGCGATTTATGGTTTATTTGCTTCTTCAAGGGTTTAAACTCAGATTCACCACCCCCATGAGTTCCATTATTTCTAATAGTAGGCAGTATATTACCCTCACTATTTCTTAATTTAAATGGAAGTCAATTAACATTAGGGGTCGTTTGGATGGGTTATTTAAACGAGTTATTTCAGCCCAAATAATCCATAATGAGTTATTTGGGCCGAAATACCCCGTTTGGCATTCATTTTCCCTACCGCATTATTTTGGCCTGCGGTATTTGTAAATAACGCGAAATCGCGTTATATGAAATAACTGATGGGATGGTGTTATTTTGAAATAACGCGTTTACCCATTTTTTCTGCCCCTTTCTGCCCTCATCTCTCTCCTTCCTTCTTCCTCTTTTCTTCGATTGCTTCCATGGCGATAGAGCAAAATCGATCGAGGAAAAATCTCTTTTTCTTTCACTTTGGATTCCTTTTTTTATGCAGATTAGAATGTGTAGGAGATTGCTAGGTTTCGGCGGCGAACTGAGGAAGTTAGTAGGCGGCGGCGACTCTCTGTTCGGAGGCGATGGAAGACCTTCTTTGGGATCGATTTCTTCTTTGAATCTGGGGTTGCATGAATCGGAAGCTGTCTAGTTCATTCTCTGTTTCTATAATTGGGGGTTGCATGAGATTGGATTTCGGTTTTGATATTGGTCTCGATGCAATCTCGATCTTCACAACCTCCGGTGGAGTTGGGTAAGGAAGATGGGCCGGTTTGATTTTTGTCAGTGGTGGCGGCATCTGTGGACAATTCAGGGGGTTTCTAGGATTGTATGAATTGAGAGATGAAAGACGAATCCGAGGAGCAGAGAAATCGAAGCACGTGCCGAAGATGACTCCAAATCTCTCTATCGGAAGCACTTGCCTCGCCGTTGTTCGAGGAGAAGAAGAGGATGGAGAAGGAAGTGACTTTGATTCGGGGCTCTGCTGCTCATTCCCCTGTTTATTGCATGATTTAGCTGGGTTTTTATATATCAAATTTGCTTCTTAAGAGAGTCCTGGATCGACAAGCTTCTCAAGCTTGGCACTGATTGTATTGCATCTGCAACACACCAGGAATGCATTATATCAAGTTATTATAATTTATAACCAATCAAGGAGTTTAGGGTTTGATTTGAGTCATTGTTTCTTTATTGATGCCATTGATGGTTCTGGTGGTCTCGTTGTAGCTTGGTCCCCTGAAGTTGCGGCTTCAGTGTTTTATCATTCAAGTTTTTGTATTTTTACTCGGATTAATGAGAATGAGTCTTCCTATGTGGTGGTTGGTGTGTATTTGAGCTGTAATGTGGCGAGACGTGCTAGTCAATTGGCCGAGTTGCATGAACTTTGTGAGGGTCTTGTGGAACCCTATGTGATTATGGGTGATTTTAATGCAACTCTGTGCGAAAACGAAAAAGATGGGGGTAACCCGTGGAATGCTTCCCAATCTTTAGACCTCCGAAATTTTATTCAATTGATAGGGTTGCATGATCCTGGGTTCCAAGGCGATCCCTTCACCTGGACCAACAAACGTATGGGTCTAGCGTGTATTCGTGCAAGGCTTGACAGGGCTCTCTGCTCCCAGAACTGGATAGATCGGTATCCAGAGACTCTGGTTAAGCACTTCACGGATCAGGGATCGGATCATCGGGCTCTGCTCCTTTCGGACAAGCCATATGTACGAAGTTGTCGTCCTTTGTTTCGATTCGATGCTCGGTGGGCTGATAACCCCGAGGTACGGGCTATGGTGGAGTATGTTTGGCAGGAGAATGTCCCGGGTACCCCTATGTTCCAGTTATGGGAAAAGCTTAAGAAACTCCGACATCTGCTGTATGATTGGAGTAGAGCGGGTACCACGAACTCTCTTCGAAATATTCATACGTTGCAAGGCGAGATTGATCGGCTAAAACGGGTACACCCTATTGATTGGCACGAGGTGAATCGTTTGGAAACCGAATTAAGCAGGCAGTGGGAGGCGGAGGAAGTTTACTGGCAGCAAAAGTCTCGTGTTACTTGGTTGAAAAAGGGGGATAAAAACTCGGCTTATTTTCATACGGTTACGCGAGCTCGCCGTAAGCGGAATTTTGTGAGTGTCCTTCGTAACGAGGATGGGGAATGGATCACGGATGAGGGAGGAAAGGCAGCGATTGCTACCAATTTTTATAGCTCCCTATTCACTTCAGAAAATCAGATTGGGAATATGCATGACAGAATTGCTGCGCTCCCAATAGACCCATGTGTGACCCCGGAAATGAATGCGTCCCTGACGGCTGAAGTACTCCCTAAAGAGGTTAGGGATACTGTGTTTTCGATGGGATCGAAGCAGGCGCCAGGGTCGGATGGGTTTACAGGAAAGTTCTTTAAAGCTTTTTGGGGCATAGTAGGTGAATCGGTGACTCGAGCAGTGAGCTCGTTTTTTGAGAATAGCAGGATGCTACGAAGCTTTAACCATACCTGGTTGACTTTGATTCCGAAAGTGGATCAAGTCGAATCTATGCGACAGTTGCGTCCTATCAGCCTCTGCCAATTTGTGTATAAGATTATTACTAAAATTATGGCAGGAAGGCTGGCTATTATGTTGCCCCAGATTGTGTCTGATGGTCAGAATGCCTTTATTCGGGAGAGGCAAATTGTGGATAACATTCTCTTAGCTAGGGCATGAGTTAATGCATTACCTCAAAATCAAAACCCGTGGGAAGAAGGGATATATGGCTCTAAAGGTTGATATGGAAAATGCCTATGATAGAGTCGAATGGCCCTTCCTGCTAGGGGTTTTGGAAAAAATGGGTTTTAACTCGGTCTGGCGAGGATGGATTCAGGAGTGCCTCCAATCTACGTCATTTTCAGTTCTTATGAATGGGACGCCAGCCGGTTTTTTTCCCCTTCCCGAGGCCTGAGACAGGGTGATCCGCTTTTGCCTCTTCTGTTTGTCATCTGTACAGAAGGGTTTGCGGCTCTCCTTCGCCAGGCTATCTCGGAAGGGAAATTACAAGGTGTCAAAGTGGCTCCCCGTGCTCCTCGTATTTCGCATTTATTCTTTGCGGACGATTCTTACCTTTTTCTTAGAGGTTCCCTCGAAGAATGTGAGAATTTGATTGAAGTTCTTAACGAATACGAGGAGTTGAGTGGGCAGAGAGTGAATCTTGAGAAGTCGGCGGTGTGTTTCAGTAAGAATATCGCGACGAAGGATTAGGAGTTCTTAGCGGCTATTTTGGGGGTGGGGGCTGTGGGTGTCCATGATAAATATTTGGGCCTCCCCTCTCTGATAGCCCGTTCCAAAATGGCTACTTTCCGCTACCTGGAGGAGAAACTGCTGGCTAGATTGCAGGGGTGGAAGAGGAGGACATTGTCATGGGCGGCAAAGGAGACACTGATTAAGTCAGTGGCTATGGCTTTGCCCCTGCATGTCATGTCCTGTTTCAAGCTACCTCTGGCTCTATGTCGCCTCCTTGACAAGCATGTAGCCCGTTTTTGGTGGGGGGTCGAGGAGGGTAAAGCTAAAATTCGGTGGATTTCTTGGAAGAACTTATGTAAAAGCAAGCATGAAGGGGGGATGGGTTTTCGGCATTTTGAGTTGTTCAACCAAGCTTTGCTGGCTAAAATTGGTTGGCGTATTCTTACGGAGCCCCAGTCTCTTCTCTCCCAGGTGTATAAGGGCAAATATTTCCCCAATGGGTCGTTTATGACGGCTCGGGCCCGATCTCGTCCCTCTTGGGGGTGGCAGAGTATCCTCTTTGGCCGTCAGTTGTTGGAATCTGGGCTGCGATGGCAAGTTGGGAATGGGCAGAAGGCACCTCTGCTTTCGTCTAGTTGGATTCCCCAGCAGCATCCTAACCATCCTGTTTATAACCCATGCGTGGTGCCGGATGGGGAGGGTTTGCTGGTGGAGGAGGTCCTCCGCCCGGGAGAAGGGCGCTGGAATGATCAAAAGCTTAGTCAATGGTTTGATCCAGATACCTGTAAAGCCATTAAAGCCATCCCTCTGCCGCGCCAGAATATTGAGGATAAATTGATTTGGCACCCGACTTCTGATGGTATTTTCTCAGTTAAATCTGCATATTATGTTGCGGTGAATTTGGATCGTCAGAAGGGGCGGTGGAGAGCCTTGGCTAGTTGGATGGATAAGCCAAGTTGGATCAGGTTGTGGGAGGCGGATATTCCTCCGAAGCTTAGGGTGTTCGTTTGGCAAATCTTTCATAGAATCCTTCCTACTACAGAAGCGCTGCGTGAAAAGAAGGTGGACGTTTTGCCTCGGTGTCTGGTATGCTGGGCGGCATCGGAAACTCTTGAGCATATGTTCCTAGATTGTCCGGTGGCTCGTGCATTGTGGGAGCATTCGGGGCTAACCGATGTGGGTGAAAGTTTACCTCGCCAAACGTTCCCGCTCTTCCTGAGGAAATTGCTGGCAGTGGTGCAGAATCCTGCTATGGTGATGTCGATAGTGGCGGTGCTGTGGCGGATTTGGCGTTCCCGGAATTGGGTGGTCTTCGAGGGTAAACAATTCGGGATCCCTGCCTTGATGCGGCAATTCAATCAACAAGTGCAGGAGTGGCTGAGCTTACCCCGGAACCGGATTGATCAGCTTGTTGCCCCCCTGGCCCCTGCCACGGTACCTTATGGAGCCGTAACGGCAATTTGTATGTGGGATGGGGCTGTGTGGATGGGGTCTCATGCGGCCGGGGGGATGGTTATCCTGAATTCAGAGAGAGCGGTCATTCTTGCGAAGGGGGTTCATTTCCCGGATCTTAGTGACCCAAGCATAACCGAAGCTCTGGCGCTCCGGGAGGCGATAGCTGGTGTTTGGCGAATGGATTCACTAGCATGAGGTTTGAAGGTGATGCCCAGGTGATAATAGATAAGATTCTCCGGCAGGATACTCGAGATAATCATATGGGAGCAATTTTGGAGGAGATAGTTAGTTCTTTTGCTTCTAATGTAGGTTTCTCTATACGATTTGTAGGTCGGCGTAACAATAGGGTAGCTCATTTGGTAGCTAGAAAAGCCCTGGCCTTGTTCCCGACTGCATGCCGTTCGTTTGATTTCCAGACCTGGCTGAATTCCAGGATGTACTGATCTATTCATTATTAATCTAATGATTATCTTTTGTCAAAAAAAAAAAGGAAAACAAAGGAAGCAACCTACATCTTAAAACAATTCAAAGGTAGCATGTTGTGTTGATTTTGTGGGTTTAGATTCATTTTTAGTGGATGGACTTTTGGTTTACGATTCATGTTCTTCATTCATGCTCTGTTTTCTCAAGCAACTACATTAGTTTGGGTGCTTCTAGAATTGGGGGCATAGTTGTATTTCTCAATTTTGTGTACCAATTAACACATACTGAATAACTCATTTATTTTCTCATCCAAACAACACATTTTACCATTCAAATTGCACAAATCACACACAAATACCACAATGTCAAAAAGTGAGTTATTTGGGTCTACAAATACCACATGAGCAAATCACTCATCCAAACGACCCCTTAATGGATTCCACAACATAATAAGCATTCTATTCATAGAACCTATACAACTTCATTATTGACAATATATGCAATAAAACACACTCATGCACTACAAAATAAAAGACAAACAGCAGGGGTTTTTTTCACATTTAGCGACGAAAAAAACCGTCGCTAACAACCCCGGCAGCGGTTTTTGTAACCCCTGCCAAACCGTCGCAAGAACAACCGCCGCTAGGTAATGACAGGGGTTACAAAAACCGCTGCCGGGGTTGTTAGCAACGGTTTTGTTGCAGCGTTTATTTCTGTCGCATTTGGTCTTTTTTGTGCCATCAGATGCGAATCTTTGCTGGGATCCCAGAAGCTTTCGCGACGGTTTTGGCCCCTGCTACAGACCACTCTTCAAGCACTGGGTAACCTTTTAGCGACGTTTTGGATTATTTTTAGCGACGCAATTTGGATTATTTTTAGCGACGATTTTTAGACCATTACTACAGCCTACTGAAGCATTTCAATTTTTCATAATTTCTAGAAATCCCGCACGCCTGCTGAAGCATTTCAAAATTTTCATAAAGTACACATGCAAAGTACCTTGTTTGCAAGCAAACAGTCATAATCAACAAGGCAGCAGGTACTTTGTTTTTTTTTAGGCAAAATACACTTACATAGCCATAACTATTCGCGTTGTGACAATAATAGCCACTTTTTGAAAAATACACTAAAATAGCCATTCCGTCCAAAACTTTAACGGAACCACAATACATGCTGACTGGACTAACGTCTCTCGATGACATGGAGACCTTTTTGTCAAGGTCTTGACTTTTCCAAGTTGAAAAGTCCCATTTATATTGTAAATTTGTAATAACTAAAAAACAAAAAATTATAAATAATGAAAAGTGACCTTCCCTTCCCTACCGCTGCGGTGCTGCCTCACCTTCATTCTTCAATCTCCTCCCTTTCCCACCGCCGCTTTACCTTCTTTCTTTAATCCCCTCCCTTCCCCATTGCGCTTCATCCTTCATTTTTGTAATCAAATCTCAAATCCAACACTGGTTTCTCTCCAAAAATATATCGCCTCCGTCATCCTCTCCAAGACCCCTCACCACCGCCAGATCGAAATTTCGTCGCCTCCAAATCCACCATCACCAGATCTGGGCTCGACCTCGACGACCTGGTTCTTCCCTCTCCGTGCTCCTCTCCTCATCCTCACAATCGGCTTCGCGTCTGATTGTTGATAAAATCACATGCCCATCCAGTCGGCGGTGTAGCATTAGAATCCATCTCCAAGCTATCTCCTCTGCACTAAACCCCCCCTTTCGCCCACTCGTATGGCGCCGCCACCGCCCTCCCTTCCATGTCCTCGTCGTATTGGGTTCTCTTGAATCTGAATTTGGGTTCAACGAGGGAAGGGTCTGGGGGTTTCAATTAGGGAAGAGGTCGCAAAAGCAGATGGTTAGGGATTCGAGAGGCGAAATGAATTGTTGCCAGCGGATTCGATGGGAGAGGAAGAGAATGATTATATGATGGGTTTTACTTGCCGGCGGCAAGGTTGGGGTGAAACAGAAACATGGAGGATTCCATCGGGGTTTATTGAAAAAATCATTTTTAAAAATTTTCAATTAAAATATGAAGTGGAATTTGAGGTGGCGTCTAGGTGGTATGGTTTGTTATGTTGGTGCTGATGTGTAATCTGAGTTGTCATCCACATCAGCACAACATCCATGTTACTAACGGTGCTTCTAACGGTGTTAATTTTTTTAAAGAAAATGGCTAAATTTGTCAACCAAGTTTGAAAAAGTGGCTATATCTGTGTATTTTTTAAAAAGTGGCTATTATTGACACAACGCGAATAGTTATGGCTATGAAAGTGTATTTTGCCTTTTTTTTACTTACCTTTTGTCAACCCCGTGTAGCACTTTCGCTTGATGAAGATAGTGCACGAATTGAACCCTCCATTGACCCCTTCTCCCTACGAAGATGTTGCAAGAACATGTCTTCAGTGTGTCTACTTCCATTTGCAGCTGATCCATCCCACTTCTCAGTTCAACTACCTCACTTTTTGCTTCCGCCAGTTCATTTCTCAGTTCTATCACTTCACTTCTTAGAGCGTCTACCTCGTTAGAGTTTGATGTCGTGGTAGAATTTATTGAAGCTGAAGAACAAGAAGGCCCCAAATAAGTCGATGGCGTTGGTCCCAAACCAGCACAACGAACCCTCCCAGGATGCTCTGGCCCATGCACCTTCTGAAAAATTTGTTCATTATCAAACGAACCTTCTTGTCTAAGAGTATACGCCTTCTCCTACACAGTCATAAAAAACAAAAGAAATATATAACATTTAATAAGCAGTTCTTTCATTTCTATTTCTTTTTCGATCTAATTATATTGTTCATAGTGCTATTCATCATATTCGATACAGTAAAGACAACAATCATAAGAGCAAAGGAAGTTTACACATTTTGCACAGCATAGCAGAAAAGCAAAGGAGGTTTACACATCTATGCAAACCAAATTCAGTAGGGTCTCAATCAAGTAAAATAGTAAGAAATTCTTACAATTAGGGTTGCAGTATACCCATTCACATAGGTCCCGTTCTTTCTTGTATGAGTATCTTCAAATGTTTCCAGCCTATCAGGTTCTTTTCCAGTTTCCTTAGTCTAAGAAGCATAAGGATAAAGTACCACCATTTGTTAATGTCACATTTAAGTTTGTTAAATCAAACATCATATTAAGTAAAACACATACTTTTATAGCCTTCCACCTTGCAATGCTCATCCTTCCACATGTATGTGGAGTCTTCATGTTGCTAGCATTTTCAGCGTTTATCTTACTTAGCCTCTACAAATATTGCAGCCATAAGTTTAAGAAGTTAAAATTGAAATAAATATGATGGTGAAAATCGAATTAAGTCAATCTAGTCATACCTGAAAGTCTTCAGTATACCATCGGTTAACCAAAGTCTGCCAATGAGTATCAATAATGCCTTCAGGCTTCGGTATTGCAAGAATTTCTTCAATAGACAGCTCAGGATCATAATATTTACTTTTCAGTTTCGTCTTGTAGTCGCTCCACCTTCTATTCACAGTTGACAAAATCCATTTGGTGGTAGCAGCTGGATATCGGAACTTCGTCTGGTTCATGATAAAAGAAAATAAGTCTCTAATTTGATAGTAGCAGTTGAAAAGAAGTAAACAGCTCAAATTATTAATTAAGCTAAAGCGAAGTTGTTTCTAAACTCGAGCGGAGCAGAGAAGGTTAAACAGCTACATCCAACTAAATATCATCTCATTGAATTCATAATTAAACACATTGGAGACAACTAAACAGCAGAGACAACTAAACAACCAAAGACAACTAAACCAGCTTAGCGGAGATATACAAGACTTGGTGGAGAAATGAAGAAGAAAACCATACGATATATAATAAAAAGATGCAGATCAATTTAACCCAATTCGAGCTTTATTGTCCGTTCAAAATGATACTTGAATTGAAACCAGAATTGTTGGATCTAGGGAAGATCTAGAGTGTAAACATACCTGAACAAGATCCAGTATCTTCGCTTTATAAGGACGAAACTCAGCCTTTCTCCAATTAAGTTCCAAGGGTGTAAACAGTCCATTTCTAGCTACAACTCCAAGGAAAGATGCAAATAAACCTGATTCAGGACCACATGGAGTTCCATGTTTATTCACCTCAACATCAATTTTTTCATTTGGATCCATGTTCCATAAATCAGCTAGGACTGTTGGTCCTCTCCTTCTGAATCTTCTGCCATTCTTGTCTACATATAAGCACAAAATAATTAGAAGTATAAAGAATTCAATGTAAACAGTAACCAAATACTCCAATGAATAAAAGCACACATAACATTACCGACATATGTAGTAAATCCATCATAGTCAGTTTCCTCAATGACTTCTTCTTCAATCTGCTCTCTTGCAGCTTGATTGTTGTGTTGAGGGTGTGACTCCCTCTCAACTTGTCCCCTTAGTGATTGCTCTCCTACAGCTTGATTGTTGTGTTGAGGGTTTGACTCCTTCTGAACGTGACCCCTAAGTGATTGCTCCCCTGCAACTTGATTGTTGTTTTGAGGGTGTGACTCTCTTACAATTTTAAGTCTTTTCAGGTTTCTTCCCTTTGTTACCATGATGGCTGTGTATATCAAATCTGAAAGCAACAGTAGAAGATACGGGTTACAAAACACAGCAATGTGTCCAAAACACAACAAAGTTTTTTGAGCAATGGAGGCTTCTATTCATTTTCAAAGCTGAAATTTTTATATAGATGTTGAAACTTTAATTATATACACATAAACAACTAATATAACCCCAAATCCAAGACTATCTACATACAAGCAGTGCAAGGAAGGTTCATATTTCTCTGGGGAAACTAAAACTTAATCCAAGGAGGGAGGGAAAGGAGCAAGTGACAGTGTGGTGAAGATAGAAAGTAGTAACTAGACAGGCAAAGTTCTTTGATGGGTGAGCAGAATTCAAGCATATTAAGAGGGAAAGGAAAAAGAACAAAACAAAACACTTTTGGGAACCCAAAATAGTCAATGATTTTCGAGCTGGTGTTCCTCCACAAAATAATATAACTCATGATCACCATTTCCCAACTAAGAAGAGGTCCAAAAACGAATATAAATCAAACATAAATGTTTCTCGATACAACAATGGATACAACAATGATCACCACTGCATCGATTAAAGCAGATTTCAAGTAATTAAAACCATCAACTAAGGGAGTTCCTTTCTGCAAAAGGAGCAAGGATATCATTTTTTTTTTTTTTGACAATTGGAGCAAGGATATCATTGATGAGAACTCATTGAAACTTTCACTGTAGGGACAGAGTTACAATTGCCGCTGAAAGGAACTGTAGCAGCAGGGAAATAAAATAAGAATAAGATTGTTAAATAAGAATTTGATTGTTAAATAGATTATTTAGTAACATAAGTCCACTTTTACTCTATAATCCAGTTAACAGCTTCTCTGATTGACAAAAGGAACCATCTAAAATTAACAGCTAATAAAACAATAGCATCTTGGTTATAAGAGCAACGAGGACATATATAGAAACTGATGATGCTTCCCGACTAGCATGCTCTTTTTTAAGAACGGGACATAACTCCAGTCATATGAGACAAGGAAATCAAAATAGCATCGAGGTCCACAAGCAAAGGGAAATATTAGCAGTTGGGAAACCAATGCTCTTGTTTAAGAGAATTATCGAAAGAGAAGAGGGGACTCACACAAGTCGACGAAATCCCTAAATCGATAACGATAAAATAGAATCTCGCCGCTGATCCACTTCACCCTAATTCCAACTCTGCATTTCGAGAAATCCACAACATCAATAAAATATCGGAATCCATAACTGATAAGGCTTGAAATTAAGTTAGAGAGAGTACCAGAGGATGATCTAGAGAATGCGGCAGCGATGTTGGTCAAAGGTCGCCGCTAGTCGAAGGTCGCCGAAATGATTACACGTCGGAGTTCAAGGTCGTCGAAATCTCCGGCAAGAGGAGAAGTCGCCGCTAGTCGAATCTCAGGAAACCGGACAATTCAAATCTCGCCACTGGTCGACGAAATAGACAAATCAAATTAAACCTCGAATCTCCAAATCTCGGAATCCAGGCTAGAAATTAAGTTGAGAGATACCAGAAGAAGACTGCGAGATTGCGGTACTAGCGATGTCGGTGATAGATGGAGCAGCAAGAAAAGGCTTCAAGGTCGGTCGCCGGAGAAAATGACAGAAGAAGGAGGAGGATCAAATCGCTCTCGCTTGTCGTCTCGACCTCTTGTTTTTTTTTTCTTTGCTCAACAGATTTTACTTTATTCCAAAAATTAATTTTTGCATTCAAAGAAGGGGAAAAACAAAAAATGTAATTGGGCCTTGAAGGGGTTATTAAAACCCCTGTATTGATTTGCTGCCAAAAGCCTGAAAGTCAAAGCCTGAAGCGGTTATAGGAACCGCTGAAAGGGAACCCCTGGGCTTGGCCCATTCCCTTGTAGTGATGCTCATCCTATATTGCACTGATTCTCAAATTATACCATACACATGTCAAAGCGCGCATTACATAGTGCAACCATTAATAATGCGAGCATTTCACATTATTCTAAATTGACTCTCCTCCCGTAAAGGCCGTCCAAACAAATCCAATAGAGGCATTGGAGTAATCTTTAATAGCGTCTATATATGAAGCTCGGAAGGTTCACGTGCCCATCTCTGCCTCCAATTAATTGAGATTTGAGATAGGCGTTCTTCCCCAACCTTACTCACGTCGCAGTTTGTGGAAGCCTACTTGTGCTTAGCAAGTGTACGACGGCGGCTAGCTAGGATTGGAAGTTTGGAACAGCAACGGTCACCGATACAGCTCTTCTTCTTCCTCCTCGGACAGAAGGCAAAATGGCCACGGAGACCCCTATAGAGAAAAAACCCAAAAGAACCAAATACCCTTCCTTTTTTTTCTTCAATTCCACATTCCCCATCGCAACAAACACAAAAAGTTTTCCTCACGCGAGTGGGACTTATGGACAAAGGGGAGCAGATACGGTGACGATGAGTAACCTTGTGGTGCTATAACCACATGCATAATTTAATAAGAATTCGCAACATTAGCGTCTCTTTCTTTCTTCTGGAAAAACTTTTAATTTTTCTTCTCTTAATCTTTAACAGACGATTTCTCACTCGTTTTAAGTCAGAATTTTTTTTTTTTGCACAATTAGATCAGATTAATTGTGCTCTTCAAAATAATATCCACTTTGATATTTTTTTGAACAAAAAAAATTTACCAGTTATTACCAGTCTATAGTCTATACCATATGGTATTGACTGGTATTAAATAACAGCATACCATATGGTGTGAAAAATACCACCCCATACTAGGGTGGTATAGTATGGTATGGAGTTGGTAACGAGAGGTATGGAATTTTTTCACCCTATAAAATTTGAAATCTAATCGATCATGATTAAATCGTTCCTTCTGTGCAAAAATTTCCGAAAACGACTAAAAAACGGAGATACCATATGGTATGGAGTTGGTAACGAGAGGTATGAAATTTTTTTTCTCAAAAAATATTGAAAATGGATATCATTTTGTAGAGCACAAAGAACTCATTCCATCTGTGCAAAAAAATTGAAATCCAAGTTAGAATGAAGACGATATGATCCAATTAAGAAAACTAGGAAAAATAATTTTTTTTAATTCTCCAGCCTTAGATCTGCAGCCACTTAAAAGAATGATCCATATTTAGTTACTTACAGTTATCCACCCTAAGATTATGCGCCCTTTCTTTAGTCTGGACAAAGCAGTTAATTATCCAAGGAAAATTAATTGGACAAAGAGGGGAACGGATCAGGTCAGTAACTTATGGTGAGTAACTATGACTAACCCGTCCACATCAGCATGACATCAGCATCCTCTCTCTCCTGAAAAGTATTTAATTTTCCCCTCTTTAATCTTTGACGGACGATTTCTCACTCGTTTTAAGTCGAAATTTAATTTTTTTGCATAGTTAGATCAGATTAATTGTGCTCTTCAAAATTATATCCACTTTGATATATTTTTCGAACAAAAAAAATTGAGTCATTTTTTACCAGTCATACCATATGGGATTGACTGGTATTGAAATAAGAGCATACCTATGGTTTGAAAAGCGTACCATGGTGGTATGACACAAACTAAAACTGTAGGATGGTTGAATACATGGTAGTAGAAGTATATTAATTGTCGTTTACGACTTTTAACATTGTATACCATAAGATACCACCCCGTACCAGGGTGGTATTGTATGGTATTGTGTGGTATTTTTTGGTCTTGTAATTTGTTCACCCAGAAATTTGTAGATCCAATAGATCATGATGAACTCGTCCCTGCTATGCAAACGTTTTCAAAAACGAATTAAAAACGAAGAAGATACCATATGGTATGCAGTTGGTACCGAGAGGCCAGAATTTTTTTTCCTCAAAAAATATTGAAAATTGATCTCATTTTGTAGAGCACGATGAACTCGTTCCATCTGTACAAAAAAATTAAAATCCGAGTTAAAACGAAAAAGATATGAGTCAATTAAGAAAGCTAGTGAAAATAAAAATAACCTTTAATTCTCCATCCTTAGATCTGAATTTTCTAAATGAAGGGTCCAGATTTGGTTATTGATGGGTGCATAACTCATGGTTATGCACCCTAACTTGAGCCGACAAAGAGCAACTAATTTAGTAAGAGACGAGATTGAAAGCACAAAGTTACTACGCCGAATTGCCGTCAAAAAATTGCTCCCTCAAATCGCCATTGTCGTATTCTTTCTGTAGACGAGGAGAAGCCAATCGAATGAGCCATCCGGGAGAGCGATCCAGAAAGCAGCCAATAGAGTGGCAACCATTTGCCGGTACTTTGCGTCCGATTGGAACCAGATCCGGTAATCAACCTGTTCGGTAGACATGACAACAACCGAACATTTTAAAATTGTTAGAAATCGGACATGAAAATTAGGGTTATCAATCTGGATCTGAGTCGCGGACTAGATCGCTCTTTTTAAAACGTTCGCGACACTGCCCTCGTCTAAGTGCTCGGAGTCGACAGTTTTGTGCGAAAACCGGAGCTCTCTCAATACACTCTCTCTCGTGTTTCTGCTATGTTATCGTATGTTTAGAGGATCTGGTGAGTGCTCTATTTATATGAGCAAAAACCCTAGAATATTCCCTCTTTCGTTGGGAATAAGTCACAATAATTAGGAAGATAATTACTCTCATAATTAAATTGTGTCTTATTAAAATAATTAATTCTAATTATATTCATAATATTTCTTTTATTAATTATCTTTGTTATTTTAATATATGAAAATATACCGGATAATTAATTAGAGCTTTTCAAAAATATTCATTCCAACACTGTGGCATAGATCTGGCAACTTGAAAATTAACAGATTCTTTTCATGTTGCTAGGGTCCGCTAGTTACCACCTTGTTTCTCTCTCTCTCTTCTTTCCATGAATTTGAAAGTGATCTCATAGATCAGTAATTTGAAAACCTTGACGCAGGTTCCATGCTTTGGTTAAGGCAATTCTTATCGACTTGAAATTGGGTTTCTTTTATGTTATCGAGCGACTTACAAGCTCTAACAATCATAAAACCCTTAGTAACAGTGAATCAAGTCCATTTCTATTTTCTTCTATCACCAACGGTTATTTGACATGCTATTATAAAATTTTGAATCTGGGTGGCAGAACCTTCAGTTCTCGCTGCTCCAGTTCCGAAGGCTTTTCTCGGTTCTCATTTTCAGCACTAATTACCATTGTCAATACCACATCTCGTGTGTTTTTATATCCCTCTTGCTCTTGGTAATCAGCGTGTTTAGTTATATCCTTTACGTCCATGTTTCCTTGTTTGATACGTAACTCTTCAACAATCGAATACCCTAGGAGTAGAATAGTACGCTAAGGAAGCTCTCGCTCAAATCAATGGAGATTGCTCCCTTACCCGAATCGCTGAGGTTTCCAAGTGTTGGGGAAATTGTTCACGTATATTATTTTTCTTGCAACACAAGCAAACACATAAGATTAAGAAAACATGCAAAGACACATGCAAGCGTCCTAGTCGATAGAATTCACTATCTCTCCTTAAAGAATCTTATTCCCCTATAGTACCCAAGGTTATGGAATGATTCCTCCCAGGATAGAAAGGACGTACATTTTTCCGGCGTAGCGGTACCTCAAACCCCGGAACCCATCGAACGCAGCGAATCAGCGAGAACCACACTTGACTCGATTTTCTCTTTGAAAAGAATGCAGAATTCTAGTTTTGGATTTTGGCAAAATTTTGACACAGAAAAAAACCATGTATATCTCGTAGTCAAAATTAGAGGGGGTATGGTGCTATTTATAGAAAATGAAGGGGTGCATTGAAGGGAGGCAACTCTTAATATGGGTGGTTACACCCCAACCAACGCATTGGTTCGTTTTTAAAATAATGAACCATTGCATCGGTTCAGTCCATGGTAGTTGGACCGGTTTGGTTATTCCAGCCGCCTCATCGGTTCGGTTTGGTTCATTTGGTTACACAAACCAATTTAACCAATTAACCTCATATTACATCAAATCGATCGAATTCGAGGCCATGCCTTCCCACATCTTACCAACATGGTACTTCAAGAGGCTCTCTTGGATCTTTCCCCTTTCATTTCCATTCACACCACTAAAATTCCCAACACCAAGAACTCAAGACCCTTTGAATAGAAAAACACCTTTTCTCAAAACTCTCACTATCAAAGAACCTACAGACACAACTTCATGAATCTAATGAAATTGCTAACGGGAGAGTGACTAAACGTGACATGTTTCAGTAATTCGAGTGACATTCATAAAAAAAAAAAGTAATTCGAGTGATTGGAGTTGGACGGAGGCTAACGGGAGAGTGACTAAATGTGACCTGTTTTAGTAATTCGAGTGACCAAAATTGATATTAATTTTTTCTAGTGATTAACCATAAGCAAGAGAGATCTTATGAGATTTTTCCAAAAATAGCACTGTTAAAAAAAAATTCCAAAAATAGCACCCAACTCCGAAAAATTCCAAAAATAGCACCATTTTTGTAAAACCGCCACCCGGAGGTGCGTTTTTCGATGAAAACGCCACCCGAGGGCGCGTTTTTCGATGAAAACCGCACTGGTAGGGAGCGGTTTTGCAGACCGCACCCCCAGGGTGCGTTTTGGTTGCAAACCGCACCCCCAGGGTGCGTTCAGCCTTTTTTTTTTTTTTTGAAAAATCCTAACTTAGGTGGAAACTTCAAACGAACGTATCTTTATGTTCGGGTATCCGATCGTCGCGATTTTTTTTTATTCCGCATAACTTTTTGAGATCTTGCAAGCCGAAGACTGCCAAAGGTGGTTTGGTCTCGCCTTCGTCCCAAAAAATGTCGTTTGCTACCCTGAACGAACTTTTTTCCGATTTCGTCAAACTTTGGACAACCATAACTTTGTGCTCCAAAATCCAAACGACATGAATTTTTTTTTTATTTCGCATAAATTTTTAAGGAATACAACTTTTATCATAGACATAATTTCAAAATGTACGTGGATTGCTGAGAAGGGAAGATAAGCTATTCCCAAAATCCTGTATATCCAAAAATAATTCCTGTTTTGAAAATACATTCCTAGTAAAAATTGTAGTCCTTAAAAAGTTATGCGAAATAAAAAAAAAATCATGCCGTTTGGATTTGGAGCACAAAGTTACGGTTGTCCAAAGTTTGACGAAATCGGAAAAAAGCTCGTTCGTGGTAGCAAACGACATTTTTTGGTACAAAGGCGAGACCAAACCACCTTTGGCAGTCTTCGGCTTGCAAGATCTCAAAAAGTTATGCGGAATCAAAAAAAAAATCGCGACGATCGGATACCCGAACATAAAGATACGTTCGTTTGAAGTTTCCACCTAAGTTAGGATTTTTCAAAAAAAAAAAAAAAGGCAGAACGCACCCTGGGGGTGCGGTTTGCAACCAAAATGCACCCTGGGGGTGCGGTCTGCAAAACCGCTCCCTATCAGTGCGGTTTTCATCGAAAAACGCGCCATCGGGTGGCGTTTTCATCGAAAAACACACCTCCGGGTGGCGGTTTTACAAAAATGGTGCTATTTTTGGAATTTTTCGGAGTTGAATGCTATTTTTGTAATTTTTTTTAAACAGTGCTATTTTTGGAAAAATCTCAGATCTTATTTGGAAAAATATGCACTTTCTAAATCTTCTTATCTAAGTGGGATTGTTTAGCTGCCGAAGGTAATACATATCAGAAGCAATTGATCCTAACAATTTGAGTGACTGGAAGTGATTTGATTATTCATACAAACAAAATAATACGCTTTCAACAATCATTCACAATGTACGTAACTGATCGACCCACGGTTTATAATTATCCAAATGCTAATTCAATAGATGGAATTGAGAAAAGAACAACAGAAAAAGGACGATTATACCAAACCAAATGATTTCAGTTTTTTTCCACTGTGTATTAGGCTATTAGCTTTGTAGTAATCAAGCTACAAAGTGCTTCACTTCAACTAGACAATATATTTACTGGGGAGTAATATAAAGGAGGAGGCAGCATTCCTAGATAACATTAATAGGTGAATGCCGATCCTAAAGTTGGCCACAATTGATAGATTGTCAAGACTAGAGGTTAGTGCTCTACAATTTGCTGCCCTTGTTATTATTACAGTAGAGGTAAACTTCCTTCCCAGAAGCTGATGAGACTGGCACAGCAGAGAAACCAACATGTGCTCCTGCTGCTCGATCTCTACAGATCTCAGCAACTTTTTGGAACTGTCCATGTTTCTTATTGTAGGGCTGTTCCACATACTCCTTGATTGGCATCCACTGCAGAGAAGAAGGTAGAGTACTGCAGTTCTTAATCACTTCTTCAGATGTCACAAACTGTAACAAATCAGTAAGTAAACAGAAGTACATTGCAAGAACCACTTACCTTAGATGCTGCAATCTCTGATTCCTGAGCAGTGATGTTCGAAGAAAGTGGGCGCATCATACAGACAAAAAACAGGTCTGATTTGCTGAAGAACGACTTGTGGCTTTGCCTGAATGCTAATATTTCGACAAATTCAGCGTCAATCTGATTGACAAAAGATCGAGAAAACCCCACAGAAGATAGATCAGCACAAGAGTAAGTTTCATGTGATTGGAAAAAGAAGCTTAGAACACTTTTTCCAATCTACTTACTCCCGTTTCTTCTTTCACTTCTCTTACTGCAGCTGCATAGATGTCTTCACCCTGAAAAATTTAGCACACACAAATTCCAGTCATCAATTGAGCAACTCATGGAACTTTGCAGAAGGCCAAAAAGAGATTTGAAATAAATAAATAAAAACCCCATTTTCCCTGACCCTCTTACCTCATCAACTACACCAGTTGGCATCTTCCAATACTCTGTGCCTTTGAAACCTCCATTCTTCTCCATGACCACCAATACCTGGCAAGCCAAACATCGCAGCAGACCATTGGCAAACTGATCAGGTACAAGAGATTAAAACTTGCTTCACAAGCCATTTCGGAACATGGGTTTCGACCCCTCCGTCCATAGTGCTAAATGGTAAGAAGGGGAACAATATTTTTACCTCGTTGTTTCCATTGAGCACAAATGCCCCAATACCAACTCGATGAGATGCATTGGTAGGGAGAGTATCAGGTTCATCTTCAGGCAGCCAACGCACGAGCATCACATAATCTGATTCAGCATGGTGAAACCTAAACCCTTCCTGTAACCAACGGAATCCCAGACACCAGTTCATTCAATTCATTGGAAACCTAAGAACAAAAAGCCCACCCTAGAAATGGAATTTAAACCGAGTTATGATTTCGAGTACCTTAACTACTGAATCCACTAGGTGAGACTGGTTTATCGGCAACTCCATCCAAAGCCCCCTCTTCCCCTGAACAAAAACTCCAAAACTTACAATCAAAATCTGCAGAGGTTGAAGACTCTGAAACCCTAAAAAAAAATCAAGTCGCAGCCTTAAACCATTTTTAATTTTTACCTGTTCCTTCCATTTGGAGATGGAATGTCTCAGTCGAGGCACGAAATCCGCAATTTCCATATGCTCGCTCATTACCACAGTCACTCCCCCAAACCAATCCTCTGTTGCATTTAACAATTTGATCTCTTCCTTCACTCTTCCATCAACGTGGCGATCCTCATTAGCCATTGTCGGAACCATAACACTTTCTGAAGAAGAAGTGGACATGTTCTTTACTCTTGCTGACGAAGAAACTCTCTCCTTGCCACTGCGGGGTTGTGGTAGTGGTGGTTCTACTATTACCTTCAAACAACAGGATTGTTATTCACCGCACTACTTTTTACTAATTGTCTTACTAATTTGATCTTGAAAGACCAATCTATCCTTAATGAAACAAATCTTCCTCTTCTCCTTTCTTTTTCCCTGCCCCACTTTGCTTCTCTTTTTTGGACCATATAAAATGACATGGTTTGTTCTAGGATACACCTTGTAAAATATGAACATTCGTCCTAGACAAAACCATTTAAAATAGGATTATCAAGAAAAGGTTCGACTATGTTAAAATACATTGTTCCACCTATGTTGGACCATGTGATTTTACATGGTTTGAGTCAAAGCCCTTATAAAATTGAATTTTTTTTACTTTAATGCGATCCAAGTTTTTTTTATAACAAGAGGGAATGAAAATAATTATATTCTTATAACATAAATCCAATATTCACATAACATAAATAATATATTTCTATAACACAAATACAATATACGTATGAAAAATGAATTAAAGTGATTCTTTTTATCCTACATCTATTCTAACAAGTTTTATATCCATGTCACATTATGGACAAATATTGTGAATTGTATTGTGGATCATAATAATAGCATAACGAAAATATCATATAATCATAACATAGATACAATATTCACGTAACAAAAATATTATATTCTTGTAACACAAACACAATATTTGTATCAAATATAATTAAAATGCATTCTAAATGGTACGTAATCGATTTGTATTCTAATTTGTCTTACCTATATTTTAACAAGGTTTATATCCATGTCTTTATTCAGTTTAACGAAAAAAAGTATTTCATATCATTTCTTACTAATTAGACCCCTCACTCTCTCTTCCTCTCAAACACTCACTCTTCTTTTTTCATTCACAAACATCATATTCTTATAACCCTATCACTTGATGTTGAGATACTTCATGAAAGTCACAGTGACATTTACGTACAAAGTCAGGGGGCGGGTATAGATGCTACCATTAATCGCTTGAGATGAGATATTTGTTTCATAGTAAAACACAAACACTTTGTTTAAGTCAATTGCCTCTAGTAATAGTTAGAGTATTGTATTTGTCTTGTAAGAATATTCTATTTGTGTTATTGGCATATTGGTTTTGCCTTATAAGAATGCAACTCGAAATCTTACGATTTAGAATGCATTTTAATCACTCTCTAACGAATATTGTAGTTGTGCTATATGAATATGATAATTGTCATATATGAATATTATATTTGTGTTATGCGAATATTGTATATGTGTTATGAGGATATGATATTTGTATAATGTAACTATATCTTATGATATATAGGTTATGTAAATATTTAATTTATGTTATGCGAATATAATATTTTATTCTTTTATTCCTTTCCTCTTCCTACCTAAAAATTTGAAAATTTAACTCTTGATGTGATCCAACTTTTTGGGTAGAAAACTGAATATATTGAAAGAAAACACCTAACAAAGGAATTGTTTTTAAGAAAACTCTTAAAATTAGGGGAAAAAAACAAAATAAAATGTGGAGGGCGATGATTAGAAAAAAAAGAGGACAGGGAATAGCAAAGCATTTAAAAAAAAGACCCCATAAAAAAGGACTTCCCCGTAAAAATTCCCTTTTCCAGTTCGAGAAGAACAGAGAGACCAGCTGGGTTCTCAAAATTGTATCTGGATATGGAAATGCGTATTAACAATGGACTTGCCTGCCACAAAACCCTCAATTAACCCATTCCAATCGGAAATGGGTACATAACTCAGTGTTTGGAACGGTACGGTAACGGTAGTGTAACTAAAAACCTATGGAACAGTACCCAAATTGGCCCATATTTATATACTGACAAAAATTTAGTGATGATGGTCAAGTGACCGTTTCAAATGTCGTTCCGTATGTAATCTTTACGTAATTGAGGTATATTTTACGTAACCGCTGTAAAAGGCCGGTAAGTGAATGACCTTCATGGTCGGTTACCACCGTTTTGGTATTCAACGATCTAAATTAATTTTAGTTATTAAATTCATGCAAGTTACTTAACTTAAAATTATACCTAAATTACCGTAAGAGGTCCCTTGTATTATATATTCATCCAAATTAAAAGGTTTAATAGCATAAATTGTCCTTCTATTATGAAAGTTTTTCAAACTTGCCCTTTTACTATTTTTAAACTCAAACTTACCCTTATATGCTAAGTTCATGCTCTCAAATCTATCCTTCTGTTATATTGTCTCTTAAAATTCCGTTAATCAAGAATCAAGCCCTTATACTAAGTTCATGTTCTCAAACTTATCCTTTTACTATTTTTCAACTCAAAATTACCGTAATTTTAATTTTCCTCCCCATCCATTCCTCGGTGGCAATTAACAGTTATAAATTAACTGGTTCTGACTTGTGATAATAGAAAAAGTTCAAATTTCAATGAACACAGAACACGGTAGAACAATATACATTAATATCTATCTATACGTAGAACTATTATCCTCGCTTAGCAATAATGTTGGTAGCAAATGAAGATAATCAATTAAGCACAACTTAAAATGTTGAGCAGATCTGCGGCCGACTTTTGCTAAAGAACATGTACGTATTCCTAATTTACACGGCATGAAAATATTCTTGTTCATCGAGTTCCTTCACGTGTCGGTAAGGTATTTAAGTTTAACAACCAAAAATCCTTTTGATGTAATATATATATATATATATATATATATATATATATATATATATATATATATATATGGTTATGTCTTCGGTGCACTCATTTTTTTGGGTGCATCGCCTCATAATCGTCATTCTGAGCAGGCGGTTCATGTTAAAACGATGTCAATCATCCCTTGTAGTATGATGAACAAGAACCACATGAATTTGTACAAAAATTATTCAAGATTCACTTTAATTTGAATGATTCAGGGTTTAGGAATTTAGGGTTAGGGTTAGGGTTTACAATTTGGGATTTTGGGTTTAGATTCAAAATTGAATGTTAATAGGTTAGGGTAATGGGTTGATTAGTTGTGATTCTGTGTTATATCATCATATGAGACTACTGTTATCCATTAAATTTCAAAATTTGATGTATTATGACCACTTTTAGAGGTGGGTGCACTGAATGCACCCAAAAAAGTGAGTGCACCGAAGTAGCTACCATATATATATATATATATAATAGTTGCATTGTAGCACTTTCAGGAGCACTTTCAGAAATGAAACAAAACATAATAGTGCATGTTTTATTAATAAAATATTGGATAAATTTGTATTTCATTGGGGTTTGATTTAATGTAGTATTTTAGTTTTAACAAAAATAAAAAAAAAGATTTTGATGTGGTAAATAACATTTTCTTTCTTATTAGTTTCACGTATTGTTCAAAACATACGAATAAACTTAATTCTTTTTTTGCAAACTAACAGTGACCCAAGAATAAATAAATATTCTCCCAGATTTTAAGAGTGTTCCGAAACATCTCTTGGTTGGCAGCGAGAGGAGAGAAGCTATCGCGATAATATGTTGTGGAATAGGTAGGTTAATGATTCACCTCGAAAATGTATGCGGGTCTTTCCTATATCTGGATTTCCCAGGAAGGATTGAAACGGATTAAACTTACTAATAATTATCGGCCACGCATGTTGAGCTAGAAATTGGTAGCGTACCTTAAAGGTGGTTGCGGGCTGGAAATAACGTCCGGCGGGCAGAGCAGAGCAGAAAATGAAACGAGGAGGAGTATATAATGTAGGAAGGAAGGGAGAGATGGAGTCAGTCAGCTCCGGAATTTAGAGATATGTTTGGCTAAAGACAATAAGCCTGCACTATATATAGTCATATAGAGAGAAAGAGAGAACCGAACAGATCCTTATAAGTATAATTTACTTATTAAATGTATTATTATTATGCCACGACAGGAAATTGCATTTATTAGTTAAACAACACCCACCACTAAAGGAAATGCATGAGAACCTCACAATACTAGCTAGTTGGATATTAGTATGAATTATGGCTTCTTTGCTACATAAATTCTGTAATTGGAATTTGTGTATAAAGGCATTTAACGTACCATTCTATTTACCAAAAGAACTTAATTAATTCAATTTGTTTAATCCAAATTCAATTTTGATTGGATGGTCGGAAAGCAGGAGTTTAGTATCTATATATTTGTACAATTTGATACCTAATGTTTCTAATAATTTGTATTGGTCAAATTTTTCTGAGATTTGTACAAATGGGAATCATCGACTCCACCTAAGTCCTAAAGGACATGAAAGAGCACAAGGAAGATGTTGCTTCTTAAATAATATCGGTCAAAATATATAAAGAGAACTGGTCATTTACAATAATATTGTAGTTGGACCTTGGTACTCGGTGGTTAGATTTACCAACCGCCGCGTTTAATTATTAAGGCACTCCATCGATGTTATGGTTGCGAACATTCCCAAAGTCGATCTAAGGAGGAATTGGACTATGAAACTTCTTCTTTTGCCCGTGGAAATTGGTAATACTCGATCGCTCAACTATATCCTAGTTTTGAATGAAGGTTGTTAGCTTGTTTGTATATTAATTTATTAGAATAGTACTTCTTCTATAGCCTAGCTAGCTAGCTAGTAAAATTCTGTGTAATTAGAGTCATAGAACTGTTTTCCGGCGAGGAAAAATTGGTGTTTGAACTCAATTAATACACCTTGACTTTTTGAACAACGATTCTAAACATGGTTCACACCTCTCCGAACAATATTCAAACGAGGGTGTTTGATATTTTGATGGTTTTTTTGGGAACAAACTACGTTAAATTACTTCTACTCCTATGACCTATTATTCTTCTCTCGTCTACCAAAAATCCCTCTATCTCTCTCCCCCCTCTCAATCTCCAATCTGCCTTCCCCAAATCCCTCTCCCCAGCCCCTCTCTCTGACCATCTAAAGCCCCTCAATCTCTAATCTAGAAGGCAGGGCGACAACCGACGGTGACCTAGGAAGGGGAAGAAGGGTATGGCAACGGTGAATCTAGAGTCGGCGGCAGAGGACGAAGAGAAAGAGTCGCCATGCAAAAGAAATAGGTGGATCTGAATCTCACAGGCGAAGGCGAAGGGGACGCGGCGACTGAGACCCCTTCGCATCCTCCGAATCTTTCCAGTTCTCGCCCACCTCTAAGGCTGAAGAAGGCAGGGACGACGGCGACGACCTACACTCAATCTTCACGGGCATCGACCTTCTTTTCCTTCATTTGATGGGTCTCGACTGTCGTCGCCTATTGATCGGCGGAGGCGACAACTTCGGCGGGGCAATGGGAGTGAAATATTGTGTGGTACATGTCTCGTTGGGGCGCCGAGGTTGGGATTGGGGAGATTGGGATGACGATGTCGAGGACAGATCTGGTGGAGGTCGAGAAGCTTCTGGATGGGGTAGAGCATAGGGTGTCTTTAGCCTTCTATTTCATTCAGCGGTTATTTATCGGTGCACAGAGTTTTCTCGGTTAGCCACCGTCGATTTCCGGCTATGGATATTGCCTGAAAATGGCAACCGACACTGAACACATATAAATGGTTTCGGTTAAATCAAATAACCATGGTTTTCGGTTTACCCGAATAACACCCCTAAGTGTTGATGTGGTGATGCTCTCAATTGACCCTAAGGAGATCTTCACTCTGAGGTCAATTAACACCAAATTAGCCCCCCCCCCCCCCCCCGCGCGCGCGCGGAATAGTCTCGACCTCTAGTACCTTAAGGGTATTTAGATAAAAGTGAATACGTAAGGCTCGGGAAGTACATTGTACCATATAATAGTCATGTAGTCTACTGGTAGCTTAGCTAGATTTCCAGTCTGAACCACATAGGTTTGATCCACAACTATTTCACATTTTGCCTTACCCACTTTTTAGACTTTATTATCTTAATTCTCCAAACGAAAATCATGTCCCCATTAGTGTCAGAAATTACAACGAAAAAACCACCCAAAACACACTCATTTTAATTCTTTTTATTATTTTAATCTTAATCTCCAAACGGAAACAATATCCTCATTAGTGCAAGAAATTACAACGAAAAAACCACCCCAAAACACACTCTTTTCATTCTTTTCATTATTTTAATCCAACGGCTCAAACTCTATTTAATTTTTACTTGGGGATTTTTTCGAATTGAAATTCCAATCATTCTCCTTTATAGAAACGATATGATCTATTCTTTTATCTATTCCAGAGAGATTAACCTAGATAAGATTGTTAAAAGAACATTATTTTGTTTATAGGCTAATTCGTCTTCTTCTAACTCTTCTAGTTTCCACTGTTATAGGTGATCGTGCATTTTCAGGTATGAAGATAGTGAAGAATAGATTGCGAAAAAAATAAATGATGAGTTTCTTGTTAATGGTTTAATTAGCTATTTATATTGACAGACAGATAGCTAATTTTTTTTAGTATAGAGACTATTTTGAGTGATTTTAATGATCTCAAAGGACATTGTATACTTTTAAAATAATTATATTTTTATTTACATTTAATTATTTCGGCCCATCCGATGTAGAAATCCTGGCTCATCCCCTACTCCCAATTGATAAAGGAGTAGTAGTATTTTCGTTGGGAAAATATCCACTATGTATTTCCTAGCTTCATGAGCTTTTGCTTCAACACCAACTTTTTCTTGTGCCACAACTACCACTTGCTGCTCAATTGTATCTTCAAGCTCCTCATTTTTAGTCTTGGGCACCTAACTCTTATTACTTATGAGAGCGGATCCAGTGACTAAGGGGGGTGCTTAGTCACTTGACTAAGCCCCTCCCAGCCCTTAGATCTGGACACTTTAATCCAATGGTTAAAAAGTGGGAAGGGCTATTTAATTAATGACAGGGGTAGTTTGGGTATTATGGAAAATTACGAAGTATACAAACCGAATTTACAATCAGTACAAACCATACAAACATACGAACAGTACAAACTAGAGCGACAAAACATACAAACAGATTTATAAACATTACAAACGTATGAACTGTACAAACAATACAAACTAGACCGACAAACAATACAAACATACAAAAAGAAAAAACAACCGGGTTGACTTTCGAGGTTCCATCCCTATATAGAGGGGCTCCTTCCCAAAGTCAACCCGGGTGTTTTTTAAACATACAAACAGTACGAACATGGTGGACAAAAATGACAAACTAGATCGACAATCCATACGAACGGGAAAAAACACCCAGGTTGACTTTGGAGGCTCCATCACTATATAGAGGGGCTCCTTCCCAAAGTCAACCTGGGTGTTTTTTAGACATAAAAAACATTACGAACATGGTGCACAAAAATGACAAAGTTTACAAACATGGTGCACAAAAATAACAAAGTTTACAAACATTACAAAAAAACCGACAAACATTACAAAATAACAAAGGATACAAACATTACAAAATATGTCAACAAACATCACAAAATCAGCATTGTCGCCGGGAAATTCTTCTCCGGCGACGACGTTCGCTGGGAAAAATTTTCCGACCAGAAAATCTCTCTCTCTCTCTCCCTCCCTCTCTCTCTCTCTCTCTCTCTCTCTCTCTCTCTCTCTCTCTCTCTCTCTCTCTCTCTCTCTCTCTCTCTCTCTCTCTCTCTCTCTCTCTCTCTCTCTCTCTCTCTCTCTCTCTCTCTCTCTCTCTCTCTCTCTCTCTCTCTCTCTCTCGTGGGAAAATTCCCTTTCCCATAAAAAAAACCCACAGACCCACTAGCCTCTCTCAAGGAATAATTCCCTGGGGAAACATTGCAACCCCCCGGGAAAAATGGCGCCAGCGAATTGCCAAAGAAAGGACCGCCGGTGGGAGGGCGGAGAAGCGTATGCGACGTGACGGAGATGCAGGCCAGGGCCATTATATTGCTGGCCGGCGACAGTCAGAAGGCGGCGGATGACAAATCGACGACGAGTGCCGGGATGGAAAGTCCGCCGGAAACGCAGCAGCCTTCGGAGGTTGTCTGTCGCCGGAACAGGGAAAAAACCCGTAAGCAAGCAGGCAAATTTTTTAAATTTTTAATAATTAAATTAAATCAAGTTGTAATTACTAGATTACCCTTCATTAAATGAGATCAATTACAACCCTTAGATTTTAATGATGCTCAATGGCAGAGATTGACTTAGTCATGTGACTAAGGGACCCCCCCTTAGTCACCTGATCTTAGCCCATTACTTATGGCAAGTTTAGAAGGACGGAGCCAAGAATTTAGGAAAGGGGGACGGATAATTTTTTTTAAGAAGTAAATTATTATGATATTTATCATTCAATAATAATTACCAAAATATCAACATATAAAGCCTATTTTTAACTACTAGAAGAGCTTTGACTTATTGTTTGGTTAAAAAGATAAATTTCTAATCATAAGAAAATTGACTTGCAAAATTCAGAAAAATTAGGGTTAAAATGAGAAAAATATGCCTCAAATGTGAAATTTTGATAGGAATTAAAAGACGGTGGGTAAAGGATCTACTAAAATAGGAAAGTTTAGTACCAAAGTGTAAGACATAACAAATGTGGGGTTGAGAAAATCAGGTATGAATTTAGGGATGGACAATGGGTGGGTCAACCACTAGACTCACCCGAATCCACCTGATTATAACTCACCCATTGCATGTTTGGGTGGACGTGGTAAGTGGGTGTGGGTCATTGTTTCTGTCATCCACTAAATTTGGGTGGGTAGCGGGTGGGTCATTGCATGCTAAATCACATTATATATTAAGTCGTTAATTCACATTCTATAAAAAAACACTATTATATTATACCAAAATTTCAATCGTGATTGATTCAATTAAATTACAAT